GATGTATTAAAGATTCCAGCTGGAGCTCTCTATCTCTCCCAGTTTTTTTTTGTGTGGCTTTTTTGGCCATCCTAGTTAAGTCTACAACTTTTTTTTGTTTTTTTTCTTATAGCAATATCAGTATTTTTCAGGAAATGGCTTTTTCTTAATTCTTTGCTCCTCTTGAAGCTGATCGCCAGGTCTGAATACTACAGTCAGTACCATTTTCAGTGGCCACGATGAATACCATCAGGCTGTTTGACAATTTCAGCCAGCTGATGGATGCCTTCTGGTAAGATGGGGACTGTTTAAATAGCCAGGCGATGACCATGTATAGGCTCACGTTGGGAGTTCTTTCCTTTTTATTGCTTCGTGTTCAAGATCTGTCATGCAGAATAAACTAAAGCTTGTTTTACAATGGGCAGAACTGTAGTGGTTGTTGTAGGGGTGGCTTAAGACATCTGTAATGTAAAGGGTTGTGTGGGTACCTGTTGCTGGTTTATTTGGAAAGCACATTTGATTTAAAACTTTTTTGTAAATAAGTCTACCTCGGAGGCATTTGGGGGTTTTATTGGTGGGTTTGAATCGCCTACTTGGTTCTTTATGTATCTTCAAGAAGTATTGGGAGAGTAAAATGTACTCTTCCCAAAACTTAGAGACGGCGTGTGATACTGCAGCTGTCACATGTTGGCTCTATAGATCGAAAGCCAAGCGTTCAGGCACCGCTGATCACTCAGCTCACAGCTTCTCTCTGCAGAGAGTGGTGACAGTTGCTGCTCCCCACAGGGATTCCTCTCTATTCCCTCTCTCTTCCTCCAGCACTCTTTGCAAGGACTGGGAGGGAGGAGGGCGGGCGCAACTTCCTCTGGCTCTACAGAGGCAGAGCCAGCTGTCAATCAGGCAGAGCCGTGGATCCCAACAATATTGTCAGATCTTTCATGGCTGCAGTGCAGCTCTGTGTTGTCAGCAAATAGCAACCAGTAGCCTTCTAGATGATGACCTTGCATCAGGAGTTCATGTACTCTTTTGACCCAGAAGAGGACAAAGGCAAAGAAAAGCTTTAGTTCTCTTAATTGTTGATCACAAGGTAGGTTAAATCTCCACTCTGTTCTGTAAAATACTCGCTTAAAAAGGTTTCAGCTCTGAAGTTCGATATTTAGTGCGGTAGAGGATCCATCCCGGCAGCATGATGCTGTAGGCTGTAGTTTTGTCATTGCAAATGTTTTCTCACTGCTCGAGGCACACAGCTAAGAGACCAGAGAGTGTCTTCACTTTTGAACCATGAAAAACTCATGCTTTGAAATCCCTCCTGACTCCTGAGTAACTAAAGCTCACAACTCCATAAGCATTGGGCAGATCTCTGAACTGAGGAAAAATATTGACTTGGCCGCCATTGTTTATCTGCTTTGATCACTTTTGATCTATTTTATAGCTCACAAGTGTTAGCTAGAACTTCCCAGCATTTATGCAAAACTTGAATATTAGCTTTAGGTGGCGTTGTAGTGTCTGAAGTTCGGTTTAGTAGTAACTACAAAATGTCCTTTGCAAATAGTTGAGGGGCTTTTCTTCCACAATTGTAGTGATTTTGTTGATCAGTTGCTAAATCCAGTGTTTTGAGTTGGTTACAAAATCCACATCTTGTAGCTACACTACCTAACCCACTACTCCTAGGGCTAGGGCTGCAACCAACTAATCGATGAGAATAGTTGCCAACTATTCTCATCGATTAGTTGGTTGGATCGTCTAGCTCTCTCCTCCATGCTGGGATCAGGGCACAGCAAGCGGTGGGTGGGTGAAATAGCCAGCCTGCTATTGCAATTTGAAATGGCCAATAGCAGGCTGGCCATTGCACCAGCCCACTACCTGCTGTATTTACATTCAGTTGCCGTCTGTGGAATCTTGCCACTGGCAGCCGTAATTCCCTGGTTGAAGCTATTCAAGCGCCATGTGCTTACAATACAATTATTATAAAAGGTGGGGAAAAGGTCCTTTTCGTTTTCGGCCTGACAAATTCTTTTGCAGGAGGTGCGTTGCAATGCCATTCATTTCACTGAAACCCTAAATGCGCCTCCCACCCACAGTGTAATCGCCTGCATTAGAACGCACGGTAATGCAATGCCGTGCGATTGCAAAAAATTGTGCATCCAGTTTTATTCTGAAGTTAACTTTGTAACACAATTTGTGTATTTTATTTTAAATTAAGGATGGTATTAAACATTTTATTGTAAACGATCGAAAAAATAATCAGCCAACTAATCAATTATGAAAATAATTATTAGTTGCAGCCCTACTGCTGTGACAGCCAGGCTTTGTAGCTGCAGGGACATGTTTTGTGTATTTTACAAGTTTCTACTAAAATTCTTGAGTTGTATCCCTTTAATAAAGCATAAACATTATGATTAAATTGTCAACATTGGCTGTTTCATCAAATTAATAAAAATTCATTAGGGCTGGAACAACTAATCGATATCGATTGTGATAATCGCTGTCAACGGTTCATTATCGATTTAGTAGACTTTCGGTCATTTGAATCAGCCCAGGCGCCACCACTGCTGATTGACAGCGGGCAGTGGGCGGGTGCAATAGCCAGGCTGCTATTGGCTATTTCAAATTGCAATAGCAAACTGGCTATTGCACACACCCACTACCTGCTGTGTTTACATTACCTGGCCCGAAGCTTTTCAAGCAATGTGTACTCGAATAGCTCCTTAGAAGGGGAAAGGTGACCCTGGGGGTTTCATAGACCCCCTAATGTCACGCCAAAGAAAACCTGTCCTCTCCAATGTGCTATCACATGGGTGGATTTTAAGTGATAGCAATAAAGTTAACAAAAGTGTAAAAAAAAAAAAGGTAAAATTATAAATACCAAAAAAAAAAAAAGTAAAGTGTAATTGATTATGCAAATAATTGTTAGTTGCAGCCCTGAAATTCATTGTCAAATGTTTCAGCTGACCCAAGTGCAATCAGTTAATTAATGAAAATTCAGGAATGGGTGCAGGTATAGATTAACACAAAAGCAATAGTAGCACTCTTTTGTTTGGGGCAGAGCTTCGATCTCTTGTGCGCCGGGTAGGTTCTGCACTGTCGCAGCGTTTCTCATCCAGTGGTATTTATACTCCAGGATCTACTTCTGAGGTTCAGCAGATTTTTTGCGCAAGCCCTAGGGACCCATTCACACCCTGCCACGTTTGTGGGACTTTGGCGACATACGTTCTGTATTTTTTCCCATGCCTTTGGGGTACCCTTACCTAGTAGCAGCACAGGTGTGTTTCTGCGTTTGTGGGCATGCGTCGAAGCCTGCACGTTTGACCTGCGTTCACAAAACGCCCTGGTGCAAATGGGGCCTTAAAAAGAAATGTGATTTTTGTAATTTAGTTGAAATTTACATTGTAGAAAACTATTTTAGAGCTATATAAATGTACACCTGCAGAGGGGTCTTCTGAATAAGGAAAACCATACATTGTGGTATGAGGGGCAAATAATCTGTAATGTTAGGGGAGTGGTCACTGCTGGCATGAACCTTGTGGTGGCTGCATATTGATGGTAGTCTTTACTTTAGAAAGTTAAAAAAAATACTGGCAGTTTATTTAAAGTGACCCTGTCACCTTCAATGGCATTACATTTGCAGCACCCTGCAGTAAACAAAAATAATCCCTTTTCTGGCAGGAAATCTGTTGACATGTGTTTTCTTAAAGTTCAGGTGTTGCTCCTATCTGATACTTTTGGTTGTGTCTGACAGTGTCTCCCGCTGTCCCCCACATCCCTACTGTGTTCTATTGTGACATAGAAGTCAGTGGGAGGAATCAAAGTGGCCAGTGCGGACAAGCTCTCCAGCACACCCGGAAGTTCTTATAGCAGCAGCTCCTGGATCACATCAGGAGCGTTGGGAAAGGTGAACATTCCTCATCTATTGTTGCAGGGTGCAGCCAGTTTTATTTCATTGAGAAAGAGACTGGGTCACGTTAAAGCCCTAAGTTAAGTTGGTGGTTACCTGTGACGAGGTTCCCATCTAGCCCTAGTAGGTGCCACTGGCCCACTCTTTTGTAGACGTGCACCTGTACAGGATCCCCAGACTGATGTTTCTTTTCTGTAGTTATTTGGAAAGTACTGGTGGGAGTAGCGGGTGACATTTTGCATAAGAGATGGGTTGTGCAGTGAACTGGTCTTTTTAACTTGTGTTGTCGAACGATCAGGCTCTCAGCGTCATTGCCTTCTCGCATGTCTTAGGGGCATCACTTGCAATAAACCAGTCAATATATTAAGTAGGCCCACCATCTTTTGTTTTGTCATGTGACTTTATAGGCCAGATGATTATTGTACCTAATTTAATAATGTAGTGGTATACTCAAGTGACATCCCATCTCATTGTAACAAACATTTATACAGTCTTTGCATTTTTCCTGCTTAACCTTCCAATTTTTTTTTTCTAGTGGACATCGTGATTTGATTGGGCTGTACATGTTTGCGGTTATAAAGCGCAAAGCCACCCACAAACTTACTGTTAGCGTGTATAGTCCGCCATAAAGAAATATAGGACGCACATCAGTAGATTCATTAATTATTCCTTGTCTAGTCGGTCCCCCTCTGGTATAGTACTGCTGGGTTGTGGTTGCCTGAAGCCTTGCTGTCTTTTGTCAGAGGTACTTTGAAACGCTTCCCGGACCCTGGCTCCCTCTTATTACAGGGGGTCGACTCCTGAGGACCCCTGGCATTAATGCCCTGTCCGCCTCCTCCCCTTCTGGGGTAGTGCAGGTGGCCAGCGGAGGTGCAGTGTGACAGTGGTTCCTGGGTTTCTGGCAGCCGGTGATCTTCCTCGCTCCAGCCCCAGAATGTAGGTGAACCCTCAATGTGTGTATTAGCAAAAATGCTGCTTCGGATGTTCTGTATTATGTTTTTACAACTTTTAACTTAGTACCAGGATTAAAATGTTAAATGTTCTTTATCGTATTGCTTTCTGTGCTACATGAGAATAGACAGTAAAACACATTAATGCTTTTGTCTGTTCTCTTTTTTTCTTACAGCAAACGAGCCTTCAATGTCCGATCTTTTGGAACAGGAACACATGTTAAACTTCCCGGACCAGCACCGGACAAGCCAAATGTTTACGATTTCAAAACTACATATGAACAGATGTACAATGATCTCCTTAAGAAAGACAAAGAACTGTATCCCCGGGGAATTCATTTTGTTTAAACCAAAAAGGTTTCAACTCTTAAAGGTGTAAATCATAATTTTACATTTGCAGCTCCTCCATGTGGAATTGTAGGCAGGTATAACATGAGAATTGTGGTATGGTTCGGGGTGCAGGTAATGGTAAATACTGCATGTGTCAGCTGATTTAAGGATCAGGATAGTGACGTTCCTCTGTGTTCCAGGTACAGAGATGTGCTTACATTAGACTGGTTGTAAGTTTTTTGTTTGGAGCATTAAAAAAAAAATCTTTTTAAGGCTCACTGTCCTTGCAAGGAGATAGTTCATAACAATGAGTGTATGGACTATAAACATGGACAGAATTGGTCACGGGTAAGTATAATCCGCAGCTGAAAAATTGCAGGTTTATTTTTGTGTAGGGCAGCATTAGGTCATACTGTTACAACTCGAGGAACCTTCATTATTGGAATTTAACCTTGTATCTTCTCTTTAAATTTTGAAGCAACAATTCACCTTATGCATCACTAGTAGTTATTTTTTTGTCCTTAATAGTATCTCTTTTCTCTTTACTATTACCTAGTGATAGAGGTATTTGTGCGTGTGAAAGCTTTGTATGGACACTGCTTACAAAGAGGCAAGACCAGTCAAAATTTACATCTACGTGGCCATTCAGATTCTTTGTAGCTCATTTTATTGTCATGTAAGGCAGCTAGCAGTTTAGATATTGTCATGTGTGCCTTAATTTCCCAGAATCCCACAGCTAGACCCTGCTTGAGCTACTCGTACAAACGAACAGGTTGACATTGGCTATGAACCTCATTCAGCCTTCTGTTGCACACTATTACCAGTCAGTCAAGTTTAGATTCTCACTATTAACCACTTCAAAACCAGGTATTTAGACCCCCTTCCTGGCCAGGCCATTTTTCAGTGTTCAGCGCTGCAGTACTTTGACTGAAGTTTATTCCGTCATGCAACACCGTACTGAAATTAATTTTATACCATTTTTTTAGGGACAGATAGAGCTTTATTTTGGTGGTATTTAATCGCCACTGGGGGTTTTATTTTTTACTATAATTAGGAAAAATTAAAGAAAATTTTGAAAAAAATAAGTTTTTTTACATTATGTTAGGAAACATTTTATTACCCAGTTTTTTGGTAAAATATAAAAGTCAGGGTCACGTCGGATAAATAGACACCAAACATGTCAAGCTTTAAAATTGCACGCACCCGCGAAATCTCAGAAAACTACCATACCCAAAACGTTCTTGTTTGACACATTAAGGTGTGTTTAGGACATGTATAACTGTTTTCTTTTTGTTTTTTTAGGCTACATCCTTTTCATGCAGACATGGCCAAAAATATTGGCACCCCTGCATTTCTGTCAGATAATGCACCACTCCGCACAGAAAAGTGTTGCCATTACAAATGTTTCGGCATTCTCATGTTTCTTTTGTTTGTATTTGTATGACACACAAGTGGAGAAAAAAAAAAGCCAAATCTGACACATTCCACGCAAAACTCCAAGAGGACTGGACAAAATTATTGGCACCCTCAATTAATATATGGCAGCCCAGGCCTAGGAAAAAATAACTGAAATCAATGGCTTCCTATAACCATCAATGAGTTTCTTACACCTCTCTACAGGACTTTTGGACCATTCTTCTTTCACCAACTGCTGTTCTGAGATCTCTCCACAGGTGCTCTGTGGGATTTAGATCTGGACTAATTCTGACCTGTCCAGTACTCCCCATTGTTTGTCTGAAAACCATTGCTGGGTGCTTTTTGACATGTGCTTTGGGTCATTGTCCTCTGACGGAGACTCAACTTTCTGACACTGGGCCCTACATTGCACCTCAATTCTTTTGGTAGTCTTCAGATTTCATAATGCCATGCACACAGCCAAGACATCCAGTGCCTGAAGCAGCAAAGCAACCCCAAAACATCAGTGAAACTCCACCATGTCTGACCTGTAGGGACTATATTTTTTTCTTCCATGAGAATGCCTAAACATTTGTCATTGCAACAATTTTCTGTGTGAGGTGATGCATTATCTGACAGAAATGCAGGGGTGCCAATATTTTGGGCCATGACTGTATATGGTAGTTGGCTTGTGCACCATACATGCTGAAATAATGGGCAGTGCTTAAGTACTGCACTACTTTCAAACCATCATCTTCATACCTCGAGTATGATCTTTTCACAAAACGATCATTTTAGTACTCATTCTTTTTAGGAACGAGCAAGCTGAAATAATACACTTTAGACATGTAAGTTCAGTCTACAGTATAATTCGTAAGAGAATAGCCTTCACAGTGGATGGACAGGACAGGGGCAGCTTTCCTAAAGGTAGCCAATAAAGAACTGCTGTCTGCATGTTATTTGCCCATCACAAGATCTGGCCCAGAGAAATATTTCTGTGGTACCGCATAAGTCATCCTTATACATGTCTCTGGAATGTGATTTCATAGGGGGTGATTTACTCACCTAAACACACGCACTAGGTGCGTGTGATTTTTACACAGCAAAACGTATTTATCAACCAAAAAGTCTCTAAAAGCATATTTCCACTAATGCCATATATGGAAAAATCATGCACATGATGCATATATAATGCTGCTTCACAGTTTAGACAAATATGGTTAGCTCATGCATTTACATTCCTGCATTCATCAAAGCAAGCAACACAACATAGAGCTAATTTACACAACATCACCTTGCAAATTCATGCAGGGCTTTGCACAACACACCTGCTGGGTGTGTACACACTACAAAGGTGTCTAGATTCCACCCATAGATCATGCTGGGAGGGAACACACTACAGAGGTGTATACATGTTCGTGGTGTGTTTATAAGGTTAGTAAATCAACCCCATGGTGACAGTTCAAATGCACATTTTACTGCCTTTTGTATGCATGTGACCCACAATTATTTGCCATGGAGCTTGGTTGCAAAGGAACTGCTAGGAAAGGATCATGCTTGTTCAGTTACCACCTTTATTGCATTCATATATACATAGAATATTAGCATTTTCCTTTTCCGCTCCTCAAACACGCTTCTCTTTTTTTGATTTTCTTTTTATTTACATTGGGAACATTTTTCTCCTTTCTGGTTTTTTTTTCCTTTTTTTTTGTTTCCCTGCTTTTTATTTTTTTTCACTTTTTGCCATTCCTTTTTTTTATCGTAACTAGTGTAGTACCTAGATCCATAAAAATGTGTTTACTTAAATGTTACACACTGGTGCGCCAACATGTTTTCTACCTCGAGACTCTTGGGTGGCTGGGTTTACTAGCAATTACCTCACAGTGGCCTAGACAATAACAGCACAAGGTTTCCAGACTCCAAAAACAATAAACTCCAGGATAGTCGGATATCTTGAGGTGGTGGAGGTATGGGACCAGAACGCCAAGTACCTCCTGTATGCCTCCAAATTCTCAACTGACTCTTTCCTGTTTTGATGCATTAACTGTTGTAGTTGCTGCTTCAGCAACTGTAAGCATGTCCCATGGAAGTCTGTAGGGAATATTCAGCCACAAAGCTACCTGCCTACAGTAAGGGAACATTTAGATGATGTGAGACCTTCAAAAGAATGAAATAATTGAGCAGGGGCTTACAGGTAAGTACAATTCTTGATACACCCCTATCACAACATAGTTTCTAGATGTCAGGGTGGCCTCCTTTTTTAATGCATGCATTAAACATAAATCTCCTGTACCTTTCCTAGATTGGCCAAATCCTCCTCTTTTATGTGCTCCCCTCCCCCAGACAGTGCGCCGGGGGGGGGGGGGGTTGGAGTTCAGCAACAGAGGCTGCTTTCAATGCAGTGGGCAGGACTAGGCTTGGTGCTGACTGACAATGTACAGGCTTGTGAATTAGCAGTGACGATGTTGTTAGCCATACCCCTGCAACATTTTTTCACCCCACTGGGCACAGCCTACATGAGTTACAGCACTGTTCTGAATTCAGAGGCAGCATTGTTGCTACACCATCATAGGAGGCTGTATAATGTGGACAGCACTGGCATGCTCAACAGATTTTTGCTTGAAAATCATCCATGAATGGTCTTTTGAACGATAATCGATGGGACACCAACGATTTTAACTACTGTACTCCTGGCCGAAATTCTTCGATCAGTCAGGCGGGAAAACTTTTTTTGAAATCGTGTGAAAGTTGATGGATTAGTGGTGGTTTCATACAAAAAAATTGCAGCAAGAACTTTGCACATGCGCAAACAAAAATCGTTCTGTCGATTGATGTCGATAGGTGAGTTAGTATTGCTAACGAATGATTATCCAAATCGACATTGGTCTGTGTGTGATGGGCTATCTGAGCTAGAATCTAAGGCAACGAAGATTCCTGATCCAAAATCTGTAGGTGATTGGCCAGCTTTAGAATAATGTGTAAGTGTATATGCACTTCTGATTCAGTGCTGTAGCACATTTTTTTTTAATTGAAAGCTTTAGTAATATTAAGTGTCCCACTTCTTAAATGCAGTCACATGTGGATGAGGAATCCTCAGTACTTCAGGCAAGTTCTTCCATCTGATTTATCTGAAAGGAGTGTTACTTTCACTTTTATTTTGGACCTTTTCTATCTCATCCAGAACTCAATCCTTTAGTGATGATCCAGTTCAGAAGTCACTGCAACATCTCTGGATATGTGGGGGAAGAGCATATCTCCCCAGGAGTAGTGTCCTAGCCAGTGGATGGAGAACAATGAAAACGAAAAGTGTGGCTCATATTCTCATTCATTCTCTCTCCCTTCCTCCCCTGACACGATTGTGTAGAACAGGGGTGCCCATAAGGTCGATGGCGATCTACCAGTGTCCTCTCCTCCCGCCTGTGGGTCCTCTCTGGATCCCCGCTGCTCTCCCCATTTGTATGCAGCGGGGATCTGAGAAGTGAAGGAACCACTGCAGCCGCGTTGGGTGCAGAGGACAGAGCCGCTGTCGCAGAACTATGGCCGAGCGGTGAGGCGAGAGAGACGCTCGGCCAGGTTCTGACAGCTGGCGCCTCTC